AATTTAGGATAGTTCTTATCACATTGCTCTTTTTCCCTTACCGGGTTATGAGCTCCTTGAGGGCAGAAAGCAGATCTTGTTCATCTTTGTGTCCCTAGCTTTGGCCACAGTGCCTGTAATAAAGTAGGCCCTTAATAAATGTTTTATTGAACTGAAAATATCCCCCTGCATAGATAATGGATTTAAAGTCTAAAGAACTTAAAACAAAATTAAGTATGAATAACCTGGTTTAAAACCAGCAAACTATCACCTACTAAACTCATATAATTATTTTTAGGATTGTGATAATGTGAGAGTTCATAATACATAATGAGCAATCTAAGTTTTTTTTTAAAATTAAATTTGTGCCTGGCCAGGTGACTTAGTTGAGTATAGTCCTATACACCAAAAAGGTTGCAGGTTTGATTCCTGGTCAGGGCACATGCCTGGATCCTCAGTTGGTGCATAGGGGAGAGGTGGTGGATCAATGTTTCTCTTGCACATTGATGCTTCTCTCTCTCTAAAATTAAAAAAAAAATCACTGGTTGAGGATTTAAAAAAAAATAAAATTGTCAGGGAACATTGGTTAATAACATTTTGTTTCAAGTACATAATTCTATATCATTTGTACATTGCACTGTGTGCTCACTACCCTGTTTTATTTAATTTTTATTTTTTAAAATATGTTTTTTAATTGATTTCAGAGAGGAAGGGAGAAGGAGAACGATAGATACATCAACGATGAAACAGAATCATGGATCAGCTGCCTCCTGCATGCCCCACACTGGGAATCAAGCCCACAACCCAGGCATGTGCTTTTGACTGTAATTGAACCTGGGGGCCTTCAGTCCATAGGCCAATGCTCTATCCACTGAGCAAAACTGGCCAGGGCTGTTTGTGTTTTTTTAAGTAACTCCTGTTACTCAGTTTCCTCATTGGGGTAGATTCAATTTTTCAAAGATGAATGCAACTGTCTCTCCCTTCCACACACTCTTCTGCAATGACTGTGCCACTCCATCAAGAGGTAGAGTCTATCTCACAATCCTCTGAATCTAGGTGGTCCCAGTGACTATTTTAATACAGTGGAAGTGATATGCAGCAGTTATGGACAACGCTCTTAAATGGCTTAGTAACTTCTGCTTCCTGCCTCTTGGAACACAGTCACTTGTGCAAAGCCCAACACACGGAGTGGGTATGTGAAGGTACCTTAGTTGATGGCCCAGACTGAATTCCTAGGGATCGGCCAACACTAACTTCTACCCAGGTTAGTAGTAAATCATCTTAAACATCCAGCCCAGTTGTCTTCAAATGACTATTCCCAGCTGCCATCAGACTGGGGTCACATGAGATATCACCAGCTCAGCTCAGTCAACCAACCAAACCATGAGAAATAATAAACTGTTCTTTTAAGCCATTGTATTTTAGGGTGGTTAACTACATAGTAATAACCATACTATTCACTGATTGTATGAGGATAATCCTTCCTTTCAAAACTGTTCTTTTTAAAAAAATATATATTTTATTGATTTTGTACAGAGAGGAAGGGAGAGAGATAGAGAGTTAGAAACATCGATGAGAGAGAGTCATCGATCAGCTGCCTCTTGCACACCCCCTACTGGGGATATGCCTGCAACCAAGGTACATGCCCTTCACCGGAATCAAACCCAGGACCCTTCAGTTCCCAAGCCGACGCTCTATCCATTAAGCCAAACCGGTTTCGGCTCAAAACTGTTCTTTCGTTCACTTTTTGATGTATGTAAGATCATTTTCTAAGTAGTAAAACTACACAGACATGTTATTTTTTAAATAATGAAGTTAAAAACCTTTTATATTAAACAGAGGAGAGGTTAATACCTTGCTTCTCTCACCAATATTCCTAGTTCTCTGGTAGGGATGATGTGAGTCTGCATCTAACCAGCTCTTCACCAGTTTCCTTCCTCTCAGGCATAAAACTTCCTAGTCTATCTATAAAACTAGCCTCATGACTGTCTTGCTGCCATAACACTATTATCATCTAGTATTCACACCCACTAACACCCTTTCTCTCACCCACTTTATGCATAGTTCCTTCTCAGAACAAGAACCTGTTCTTATAATTGACCCTAATCTCTATTTACTTATCCAAGACAAACTCTAATCAGTCTATGCCTCTGGCTAAATGTTTCTTCAACATCTATTCTTCCTCATTATGAAGTTTTGGGAAGTGGTCAAATATAGTGGTTAAGAATAGAGACACTGTGACCATAGTTGGTTTGGCTCAGTGGATAGAGCACTGGCCTACAGACTAAAGGTCCCAGTTTTCTATTCTGGTCAAGTGCACATGCCCAGGTTGTGGGCTCATCCCCAGTGTGGGGCATGCAGGAGCAGCCAATCAATGATTCTTTCTCATCACTGCTGTTTCTATCTCTTTCTTCTCTCTGAAATCAATAAAAATATATTTAAAAAAGAAAAGAATGGAGACACAGTGTTTGACTTTTTACTAGCTGGCCTGACCTTTGGCAAGTTAATCTCTTTTTGCTTCATTTTTATCATAAGTGCTTTAAACAGTGCCTGGCATATAATAAAAAGCTATGTCTTAGCTATGGACTTGGTTGCATCTTTACAAAATAATTGTTTAAATTTCAGAAGGTCATGTGCAGGTACCTTAGTAGACAGCCCTGACTGAATTCCTAGAGATTGGCAACACTTACTTCTAGCCAGACTAGTAAATAATCTTCTCTTTTCTCCCCTGGGAAACAAAATACATATCTTTTCTGACTTTCAAAAGCATTTCATTCATATTTTACAATTACTAGTCTATTTAACAATAAGGTAAGTTGAGGAACTACAATAGTTGTAAGACCTCAGTGTTTTAGTCTTTTTAAAATACATATATTTTAGTTGATTTCAGAGAGGAAAGGAGATGGAGAGAGATACAGAAACATTAATGATGAGAGAGAATCATTGATCAGCTGCCTTCAGCATGCCCCACACTAGGGATCGAACCCGCAACCTGGGCATGTGCCCTAACTGGGAATCGAACTATGACCTACTGGTTCTTAGGTTGACACTCAACCACTGAGCCAAGCTGGCTGAGCTAATCTTTTACTCTTACTGACTAGATATGACTAAATTTGTAAGATTTTTTTTTTTAGAACTTAATTTTCTCCTACACCACAGTAAGTCTTTTTAAAATCCAGCCACTCAGTAAGGTAATTTTAGTAGGGTCAATATCTCTATATTGTCAGTAAACATCAATTAAGTATCTGATTCATAGAACAATAACCTATTTCATTCAATCTGCATTCAAATTCCCTGACAATGAAATACTACATATGTCTTAATGTACATTAGAGCACCTGGAAATATATACACTGAGTGGCCAGATTATTATGATTTCTGATCACATAATAATCTGGCCACTCAGTGTATATCCTATATAATGAAAGGTTAATATGAAAATTGTCCCCTCGACCAGGAGTTCAACCAGCAGGCAGGCCGGCCAACCGCCCATGTCCCTTCCCCCTGGCCAGGATGGCAGGACCCCTTCCATGCACGAATTCATGCATCGGGCCTCTAATACACACACACACACACACACACACACACACACACACACACACACACTGAGTGGCCAGATTATTATGCATTCAGAGATCATAATAATCTGGCCACTCAGATATATATTTTAATTTTTAAAAAACATATATTTTATTGATTTTGTACAGAGAGGAAGGGAGAGAGAGAGTCAGAAACATCGATGAGAGAGAGTCATCGATCAGCTGCCTCTTGCACACCCCCTACTGGGGATATGCCCGCAATCAAGGTACATGCCCTTGACCGGAATCGAACCTGGGACCTTTCAGTCCCCAAGCCGACGCTCTATCCATTGAGCCAAACCAGTTTCGGCAGTATATATATATTTTAAAAATATTTTTATTGATTTCAGAGAGGCAGTGAGAGGGAAGAGCCAGAAACATCAACGATGAGCCCTGGCTGGTTTTGCTCAGTGGATAGAGTTGACCTGTAGACTGAAGGGTCCTGGGTTCGCTTTCAATCAAGGGAACATGCCGGGGTTGTGGGCTCGATCCCCAGTGTGGGGTGTGCAGGAGGCAGCGGATCAATATTCTCTCTCATCACTGATGTTTCTCTCTCTCTCTCCCCCTCCCTTCCTCTCTGAAATCAATAAAAATATTAAAAACACACACAACATAAATGATGAGAATCACTGACCAGCTGCTTCCTGCACGCCCTCTACTGGGGATTGGCCCACAACCTGGCATGTGCCCTTGACCAGAATTGAATCTGGGACCCTTCAGTCCTCAAACTGATGCTCTATCCACTGAGCCAAATTAGCTAGGGCTGGAAATATTTTGATATGAATATTCACAAAGCAGAAAACTATCCTAAGACATTAATACTACTATTCTTTAAAAAAAAAATTTTTTTTTATTGATTTTTAGAGAAAGAGAGAAACATCAATGTGAGAGCGGAACATCAACCAGCTGCCTACTGGGGATTGAGACTACAATGTGGGCATGTGCCCTCACCAGGAATCGAACCAGCAACCTTTCTGGTGCATGGGATGACACCCAACCGAGCCATACCAGCCAGTGAATAAATACTACTATTGGTAATTTTGCTAAGACCTCAACTAGAGAAACACCTGGACTAGGAAGACTGTTATTCCATGGGCTAAAAGGGAAAACATCTGCTTAGATTCACTTTTCATAATTTTAAAATTTTTAACTAAAAGTATCTGTATTTTTAACTAAAAGTGTCTTAGCTCTTCAAAGTCTTTGTTGGTTTGGTGATATACATACTTTAATCTGCTCAGTATTTTTTCTTGTGATTACTATACATGTTTATCTTTTCTTAAAACATAAAGTCCTAAAATGTACGCACTCTCTTCCCAGCACGCACAGAAAGAAAAAATTTGGTATCCAATGGCTTCAGAATCAGACCTGAAAAAAAAATCCTTAATTGGCTTATGGATTCAGGGAATTGGGGATAGAGTCACTAAAGAGTTTGAGATAGCAGAAGAGGGTGAAGCACTTTTAATCACAGAAGAGTAAACAATAGTATAAACCGTTAACAGCTCACCCAGTGGCTGTTGTCCTCCTCTAGTTCTCTGCTCACCCTCTCCCACCCCATCCCCTGCGTACCATTGAGTAAAGAGCAGGGTTATCAGCAGCTGTCCCTGTCACTACCAGGTGGTAGGAAGGAGATGTAGCTAGGGGTCACAGCAATCCTGGCCATTCATCCATGGTTATCTGTTTCTACACAACTTCATGTGAAATATTCCAGCTCTGAAGGAAGAACAGTGCAGAAACCTTAACTTGGCTGCTCCATTTAGATGTCCAGAGCCTCAAGAGTCATGGACAAGAAGGGAAGGGATAGTCCAGAACCAGAATAATTCAAGATGCAGCCAAATCTGGGATTGAGGTGGACCAGGTAAGGCCTAGAGGCCCTAGTTCAGAATTGTGCCCCAACCCAGGCAATGAAACTCATGCACATGGGCGTGTATGCACATACACGCACACGCGTGCGCGCGCACGCTCACACTCACAGACACACACACACACACAGCAAATATTATGGAAAGAACCTGGAGGCTATTAAATACAAAATGGCATAGTTTTTAAAAAAGTGAAAATATTTGCTTCTTTGATTCTCCTCAGTGCTGCAGACCTCTAGTCTCAGGAGTGCAGGTTTGGGGAGGCCCAAGAAGAGTAGGTTGCCAGTGGCCCTACAAGTCCATGTGTGCTTAAGTCCCCTTACCAACCATTTTACTCTTCAACCCAGCAGCTGCCTCCCATATGACCATTCACCCAACTGGCACCATTGCTGGAGCTGCTGCCACAGGAGCTCTTTGTGTTGGTGGTCACATCGTCTTCTTCTGAGCTGCTCTCCACATCACTGCGGTCATCCTTCGATACCTAGGTGGGATGGGGCCAAAGGCAGGAAAGGTGAGGACAGAACTTTTCTGGAAACGTAAGACAAAGCCCACAGAGCCCATGTTTTACACTGTTTCCAATTTGGCCTACTTTCTGGTGGCACCTGACTCAAAACATTATCTGGGCCATGGCTACTGTTTTGAATATCCTTTGCCTGCTTCCTGGGTTTCTCTCTTATCATTTCTGTTTTTATTCTCTACGGAATAAGTAGCTAGTTTGGTTGAGGTGTGTGTCTTTCAGGACCAGCCTAAGAGAGCTGAAATCATTCCCTGAGTTCTGATTTAGGTTTGAGGGATACTCCAGACACCCTTTTTCTCCTTCCATCTCAAAAAGTAGAAAAAGGAAAACATAAATAATGCATATGACTGTCATCACTGTGCCTGTCTTCTGGTGGTAATGGTGATTGCAGTTATTCATATTGGTTATCCTGAGTTTTGTTCTGTTTCCAAAACTGATCCATACTAGGACTTTTTCAGCAGTTCTACTTATTCTGGGTGCAATTAGCAATATCCTATGATGCCATTTCTCCAATCTTCTCCCTTTTCCTGAAAGCAAGATCACTTCTCTTGTGCAACTCTGGCATTCCCAAGATCCACATGGTGAAAAGTGGATTGGCAATCACGGGAGAAAGAGTCCCAGTCCCAATCATGGTTCTATTTGTGAATCTTGACTGCTTAACCTCAGCTTTTTTGTTTTATATTTTCAAATGAATAGTTTGGATTAGAGCAGTGTTTTCAAATCTAAATTATCCTGCATATCAAACAAAATATTTCAAATTCTCTACAATGGACCATATAAAAGTAAAAGAGAGAAACCCAATGAAACCTATGACAGACTTCTGACCTCCAGAACTAAAGGATAATAAATATGTGCTGTTTTTTAAATAAGTAAATAAAGGTGAAAAGGAAATAAAAGTACAATTGTTATTTCTATGAAGTGGGGCACTTGCTTTGGTTAGCTCTAAGATTCTATGGTTTATAATAGCTGTTGACTTCTGAACCCAGATAACTAATTGATTCCTGATTTTTAGAAAATGTCTACCAGAGAGCACAGTGTGTCTAGATCTGAGGTAAAGAGAGGCTCAAAAAGGGAGAGGGGAAGTAAAACAAACAGAGCAGACTCCATTCTTGCCTCCATTTAGGAAAATCTGGCAGCAGCTTGAGCTCCAGTCAACAATGGCCCCACCAAGGTCAGGAGAGGGGGCATGCTTTCAGACAACATGGGAACATGGAGGAAAGCAGGAAGGAAGAGAAACACATTCAGAAAGACATGCTTCACTGAATACTGGAAGCACAGATACACTTACATGCAAGAGACGAAATTGTCCAGCTCCCGCCAGGCATAGAAAAAAGGAAGGAGGTGAAAAAAGAGTGGAGAATATAGAATCTGGGTGTAATCCTTCCTGGATAAGTCACCTGGTCAGAAAAGAAAAGCAGGGGAGAAAAGAGATGTCTAGTAGCTATAGCAAGATGCATAGACACACTGAGCAAGTTCTGTAACCAATTGCAGCCATAAGGGACAGACATAAGAGGTCCTATATGCCCAGGTAACATTCCATCCCTTTGTCCTAGAGTCACTGTGTCCTCTAGCAGACCCACCCCCACCTCCACCTTGGGATTCTGTATTACTGAAGGCTGAATCCCCAGCCCTTAGACTGATTAAAGCCTGACTGTGTTAGAACTCGGTTCACTTATGAATTTTATCATTAAATGACACTTCTCTCTGTGCTTGTGGGCCCTGGGCATAAGATGGGTATTTGAAACCCTAAATAGCCTTCTTACTTAAGATCCTTGCCTCATACAACAGTGGGATGAGGCCAGTACTTGTCTCTCACATAAACCATATCTTGAACATCACAGAATGGTCATTTTGAGGTGGTTTGTGAACCAACCCCACTCCCTCGGCAATCACTACCTTTACAGTTTTTATCTTGGAGCTATGCATATGTTTTCCTTGAAAAAAGGCTCCCCAGCTAAAAATAAAAACTATGAAATCTACTGAAGTACGTAGGTAAGGGGTAGGAAATGGTTGAGGTCTTCTCTAAAACCTAATCCTGTTCATTATTTAACAACAGTCATTTCTAAAAGATAGGAAGAAGGAAGATCCTTCCTCTTACATCTAAATCGTCCTAAGAGGATAAACACTCATACTTATAGAAAAGGTGAAAACTATGGATCCCTAGGCTTTTTGCTGGGTCTTCTCGTATGGATGGGGCTCACTTGGTTAGATCAAAAGAGAAGGCCTATTGAGTAATATCCATCTTTCTACTCAGTCCCAAAGAAAGAAGCCATCTTTCATCCTCACCTTTCCTCGGATCAAGGCTTTGAAAGCAATTCTCGCAATTAGGTAGGACCAGATGACATGCAGAACCTGTAGGATCAGGAGAAGGCCATTGAAGAGCCACCAGGAGGGATAGGGTCCAATAATCTCCCAACTCTCAAAGAGGGTTGTGTTCAGAATCCTAGAAGGAGACCAGTGGTCAGATTGTAGAGTCTAAGCCAGGCAGATATGGATGAAGCTGAGTTCCCTGAGAAGCAGAACCTGTGTTTTCTCCCTGTACCTTCTCTCTCAGTTGAAGTTCCATGGACATTCATCCACAATGAGAAAAGAAAGGAAGGCAGCCTATGAAGTTTTCTATCTTTAGGGGTACAGGAAGATAAACATTCAAATGTCTCCCATTTCAAACCGGTTTTTGACTAAGTTGTTCATGGAAAAAAATGTCTTGGTTGTCAAACAAAACTTCGGTTCTCGACCCAACAACCCTTTCACCTGTATGTATATATGTAATCACGTGTCTCTCAGGTGACAAACAGGAGAGAATGCCTGAGTATGAGTCAGTTTACCACTAAACTTCACATTGTTAACATTTCAGGAAATTGTGCTATAAATATTTTCACGTGGTTTTTTTTTTTTTTTTTGGCTTTTGTTGCTGCCATTATTATTAAATATTACAGTAAGTCACATGGGTCCTAAAGGTGATAGTAGCAAAGTGAAAAGGAAAGTTGTGAGAACAATGACAGAGCTTAAAAAAAGAAATAATTGCCAAGTATGATTGAGGTGTTTGCATGTCTAATTTGGCTACCGTGTATGGCATGATGAAATCAATAACTAACTTGTACAATTTTAAAACATAAAGAGGCCCCCAAGAGAGCTGATGTTGCTAAAGATGTGATAATGCTCATGAAACAAAGATCACAGGCAAATGAAGAAGCAGAAAAATTGTTGTTGATTTTGATAAGTGAAAAGCAATTAGTCAGTGATGTAGCACTTCGGAAACAATGATATGTGAAGATGCTGCATACTGACCTCCTAAAAGATAATCCTGGAATGAGTATTGAAAGTGATTTAAAGCTAGTAGGGGGTAGTTCGATAAATTTAAGAAAATAAGTGGCATTTCCCTAACCGGTTTGGCTCAGTGGATAGAGCTTCAGCCTGTGGACTCAAGGGTCCTAGGTACGATTCTAGTCAAGGGCATGTACCTTGATTGCGGGCACATCCTCAGTGGGGTGTGTGCAGGAGGCAGCTGATCGATGTTTCTCTCTCATCGATGTTTCTAACTCTCTATCCTTCTCCCTTCCTCTCTGTAAAAAATCTATTAAAATATATTTAAAACAAAAGAAAAGAAGTGGCATTCATAGTGTAGTCAGGCATAGGGAGGCTGCTAACTCTAACAAAGTAGATGCTGATAATTTCATAACAGAATTTCAAGAATATGTAGAGGCCAAGAGATTTGTTCCCCAGTAAGTGTTCAATTGTGATGAGACAAGCCTCTCTGGAAGAAAATGCCAGAGAGGACTTATATCACACAGGAGAAGTCACTGCCAGAACACAAGCCAATGAAGGACAGGATGACGTTTTTGTGTGGGAATGCAAGTGGGGACTTTAAATTGAAGCCTCTACTGGTCTATCGTTCTGAAAACCGTGAGTTTTCAAGAAAAATAATGTCATGAAAAATAAGTTGAATGCGCCGGGACCGGTTTGGCTCAATGGATAGAGCGTCGGCTTGGGGACTGAAGGGTCCCGGGTTCGATTCCGGTCAGGGGCATGTACCTTGGTTGCGGGCACATCCCCAGTGGGGGGTGTGCAGGAGGCAGCTGATCGATGACTCTCTCTCGTCGATGTTCCTAACTCTCTATCTCTCTCCCTTCCTCTCTGTACAAAATCAATAAAATATATTTAAAAAAAAAAAAAAAATAAGTTGAATGCGATGCGCAGGGCTAATAGCAAAGCATGGGTAACCAGGCAATTTTTTTATTGAGTGGATTCATGAAATGTTTGCCCTAAATGGGAAGAAATACCTCTGGGAAAAACAATTGCCACTCAGGGCACTGCTTGTAGTGGACAGTGTTCCTTCCCTCCCTCCAGGCTTGGAGGCCGAGTTGGTGGAGGAGTACAGCTTCCTCACTATCAGGTTCTTGCCACCTAATACAGCCCCTCTTATCCAGCCCATGGACCAGCAGGTCATTCCTAACTTTTAAGAACTACACAAAGATGCCGAAACCGGTTTGGCTCAGTGGTAGAGCGTAGGTCTGCGGACTGAAAGGTCCCAGGTTCGATTCCGATCAAGAGCATGTATGTAGTTGCGGGCATATCCCCAGTAGGGGTTGTGCAAGAGGCAGCAGGTCGATGTTTCTCTCTCATCGACATTTCTAACTCTCTCTCTCCCTTCCTTTCTGTAAAAAATCAATAAAATAAAAAAAAAAAAAAAAAAAAGAACTACACAAAGGCACTGTATCAGAGATGTTTTGAGGTGATTAAAAAACTAAAACTAATTTATTGTAACTCTTGGGGAGTTCTGGAAGGAACATTTTAATATTCTCACTTGCTTGAGGCTCACAGACAAAGCATAGGGGGAAGTGTCTTTCAGGCCATGCAATCTGCCTGAAATTGTGGCCTGAGTCTGTGGCTGAAAGAGATTTTGAGGGCTTTGAGGATAAGCCTATATCTGTTGTGGAGGATAATGTGTCTCGGGGCAAGTCCATGGCTTGGAGGTGGGTAATGATGTGGAGGACCACAACGCTGAGCTGACCTTCAGAGAGAACAGCAACATACAACAGCTGAAGAGCTCCCTTCAGAGAAGAAGGGAAGGGATATTCCTACTTCACTAACCAAGAAAATGCTTGGAAAATGAGGAGAAATGCAAAATTTTATTGAGAAAAATCACCCTGACAATGATGCAGCAAATTATGCAACAAACTTGTTCAATGACAATGCAGTGTTTCACTTCAGAAAAGTGTTAAAATGTAGATAAAAACAAACATAATTGAATAGGTTTTTAGTGAGACAGAGGCCCAGGGAGCCTGAAGCAAATTCTAGTGGAGCAAAGAGACAAAAGAGAGAAGTTTTTTATGGAAGGGGCAACAATAACATCCCTCCATCCCTCCTCTCCATATTCAGTCATTAATAGCTCTCAACATTAAAGGTAAGTTCTAGTATGTATGCAAATTTTTATTTTTTACTGTACATTTCATTTCCTTTTTGTTAAATTTTCATTTACATTTCATGTCCTTTTTGTTTGTAAAGTGTTTATAGATTAAACAGTACATTAGACATGTACTACATATAAGAAAGGTTGAAAGAGGGAATCATTTGGGGGTCTGGAACAAATTCATTCAATTTACTAATTAAAAAATGGAAAAAATGATTTGGTTTTTGAATAAACCACTTCTTGAACAGCCTTCCAGAAGAAATAAGTTCAAGAACCAAGGTTCCACTGTGTAAACCATAGGAACTAATGGAATCAGTTATATTATTAATCGCTTCAAATATGCACAAAACTGGGACAGCAATTTTAATCATAATCCTAGAACTTAGATCCTCAGGCACATATATTGAGATAGAATAGTTAGTAGCTTATTCCCTTAGACTAAGCGTGATCTCCAATCCAGAGTCACTGACTTTGTACCATGAAATAGTGAGTGTAGAAGTGAGAGGCGCGCGCGCGTGCGTGCGTGCGTGCGTGCGTGCGTGTTGTCAGGGTAGGAGAGAGGGTGTGAGTAGGAAAACAAGCAAGAAGAGCCTGAGAATTTTGTAATCAGCACACAAGAAAGCAAATGAAGTACTTAGGCATGAAATGAGGACTGTTCCTCAGAGATGATTCAGGAAAGCCACAGCCAGTGAGTTGGATGCTCTGAGTCTGGATCATGCCTCACTAGAAATACTATGCAAGGGAACTGAGGTTAGGTCAAGGAAAAAGCAGGGCATCAGGTTCTTGGTGGTTTACTCCCTAAACTGACAAAAGGTATCATTAGCTACATTCCTACACCAGTTCCACAGCTCTAACACTTACCAGAATGGATAGATTCCAAGACGAGTGACCATAAAAACAGCACTGAAGATCACAAAAAGGGTGTCACAGAGACGCTGATATTTGGCATAATTGGCCAGCTTGGCTGCCTGGAAAAAGGAAGAATTAAATTGAGGAGAAAACCTGTTCTCAGGAAGCAAAGGAGAGAAATAGAGGAATAATGAGGGAAAAGAAATTGGGGTCTTACCTCCAGCAAGAAGTCTGAGGCATCATGTAGACACATGACCAGAGTTCCTACCCGAACCATGTTGTTAATATATGAGAAGGTGATGAGCCCAATGGTGGCTAAGTGATGCACAAACATGATCAGGAAGTCCTAGGAAGGAATGGAAATAGAAGAAGCAGGTATAGGCAGGGCCATAGAGATGCTAGCCAACTCAATGCCCTGCATTGTTCTCTAAAGATCTTAATCCCAGCCTTAGAAGTTCCATTCTGTTTAAACTCTCCATTAAGAAGCTGCCTAGGCCCTAACCAGTTTGGCTCAGTGGATACTGTCAGCCTGCACACTGAAGGATCCCAGGTTCGATTCCAGCCAAGGGCATGTACCTTGGTTGTAGGCATATCCCCAGTAGGGCATTTACAGGAGGCAGCTGATCGATGTTTCTCTCTCATTGATGTTTCTAACTCTCTATCCCTCTTCCTTCCTCTCTATATAAGAAATCAATAAAATGTAGTGAAGAAAAAAAGCTGCCTAGCATTTGACCCCAACTCTCTACATCAGTGACCCATAATCTATGTTAATATATTGTAGCTTAAAGCAGGTTAAAAAGCTCTAATTTAGTCCTGGCCAGTGTGACCCAATGATTGGAGTGCCAGCCTGCACATCAAAGGGTGTCAGCTCAATTTCTGACCATGGGCACATTCCTACCTTGCAGGTTCAGGTCTCAGCCCCTGTCCAGGCATGTGTGGGAGGCAACCAGTTGGTCGATGTGTCTCTATCACATCGATGTCTCAAACACTCTCTCTGACTTTTGCCCCCTCTTCCACTCTGTCTAAAAAAAATTCAAAGGGAAAAATATCTCTGGTGAGGATTAACAAAAACAACAACAAAAAGCTCTAATTTCTTCTCAGATTCCAATGCCAAGGGTTGACCTGAGGAAATCTCTAAATACCTGAGTTATCAGACATAGCTAATAAATACTTTTAGCCCAGTGAGGGACACAAGGTGGGAGAAGGCAGGAGAAACAAGAATGAAAAGTTATATTTCCCACATAGACAGATACAGCAATATATTCTAGCTTTTGAGTTGGGTTCAAAAATATACATTCTAGTGCATTTTTAAACCTTTATATTTGTGTCATGTTTAAAACAAAATTTTAATAAGGGGAACCTGTATCTCCTGATCATAGGAGAGTGAAAGTCACCTGATTGGAGTATGAAGCTTGTAGGTTATGTAACAATTAACAACTCAGATTTAGTTTCAGTCCATTCCCATAAATGCTACTTTGGCTTTCTCACCAAAAATAACCATAAGTTAGTAACAGATTAGGGCTAGAGCTGCTGGAACTACATTATGTCAGGTGGACAACAATAAGAGGTGAAGATTGTCTACTTATAAAAAAACTTGTCATTTCCAAATTTGTCACTATGTGGACAAATCAACTTACTTTTCTGAATCTTTGTTTCCTAAATAATAGCAAGAAAATGGTAAAAAAAAAAAATAATAATAATAAATAAAATAAAATAAATAATAATAATAATAATCTGGAACCCCTTCCAGTTGAAATTCTTTGAGTAAGTGGGGTCACCAAGAAGGAAAAGCAGAGAGAGAACAAGGGCCCGTAATGCCAAGCAAAAGCCAAATTTAGCTTTTTTTTTTTTTTAAATATATTTTATTGATTTTTTTTTTTTTTTTTTTTTTTTTTTTACAGAGAGGAAAGGAGAGAGATAGAGAGCCAGAAACGTCGATGAGAGAGAAACATTGACCAGCTGCCTCCTGCACACCCCCCACCGGGGATGTGCCCGCAACCAATGTACATCCCCTGACCAGAATCAAACCTGGGACCTTTCAGTCCACAGACCGACGCTCTACCACTGAGCCAAACCGGCTTCGGCCAAATTTAGCCTTTATAGATTCAGGCCTGTTCTGGATCATGCCTTGCTATCCCTATGTTCTCTCTAGTTTTAAGAGCCTTGGAGGAAAATAAAGAAAAAGGTACGCTTAGCTGGTAACTGTTCTCATCTTGGCTACTCTGAAGGACTCAAATATACTTCTTCATTAGTCAAATCTCATTTCTGAGAACATTACAAAGAGCTAATAGTCCATTCAAACCTACTTTCTCCCTCTTCTGTGATCTCAGTCAGGACAGAGAATCCATCACAATGGCAGTAATGGTAGCTGCTAGGAAGGAGGATGCAATAAGTTACTGGGAATCGAGGGAACCAGGATCCTTACCTTTCTTTTAATGTCTGTAAACTGAGAAAACATTAGAGACCAATAAAAGGCCAATTCCATGATATAATAGTAATAAAGCCCACTTGTGAGAGGCTGAAAGAGAGAAAGAATTAGTTAGAATACCAGCTAGTCAAAGATTCATTCTATGTCTGCAACTATCTCTCCTTGGAGGACCAATAGTCATAAAAAACATTAAGAAATGACTTAAGTCTTTTCTCCCTATCATCTTCCAAGATCTTCAATAGCTAACAACAGGCTTTGGGTTAGTATGGAGAATTAAACCTGGTGCATGGACTGGTGGGGTCCCTCGGCCTGGCCTGAGGGGATTGAGCTGAAACCGACTCTCTGACATTCCCTGAGGGGTCCCGGATTGGGAGAGGGTGCAGGCCAGGCCGAGGGACCCCACCAGTACATGATCGGATTGTGGAGGGACTGCGGGAGGGCTCCAGGGCGTGTCTGGCCCAATCAGCTGGACCCCAGCAGCAAGCTAACCTACCAGTTGGAGCATCTGCCCCCTGGTGGTCAGTGCGCACCATAGCGACTGGTCAACAGGTTGAACACTTCACATTTTAGGCTTTTATTATATAGGATATATATGTTCAGCTCTCATCTTTTAGCGTATTTAAAATTCTGGGCAATTAATGCTTTTTAAGGGATTAAATACACTTAGGCCTTTCCTTCTAACACTCCTGACCTTTTAATAGTATAGATTAAGGGAACTCCAAATTATCCTTTACTCAGAAATGACACCTGAACCAGAAAGCACTTCATTAAGTGCCAAAAAGCTGCTTTTGTTTCCAGCCCAATTAGGGGATCATACTGAATATAATGGGGAACTGGAACAAAAAGATCACTGGATTTCACAGCTATGGGGACCTAAGAAATAGATACTCTGTATATATTACTCAAAGAGACTCAGCCCCTAATCCCTTAAGAATACCAAGGAAATGTGATATCTTTCCTGGGATTTCACTGTCCCCCACTCTATTTTATATATATATACATAAGTGCTCAGATCCTACCTGATATGGATAGCTATGCCAGCATTGTCGGGTATCCCAAAACCAAGGTGACTAAGAAAAAACAGATAATCCAGGTCAGTCTTTAGAATTCTCCTATGGCTCACCTATATAATCCTGTTCTCTCCCTCTTGACAGAATTTAGAAACCCCTAAAGGGTAAATAAATACCTAGATTTCTCTTCTAGGACTTAAAGTGTTATCACAAACAGAAAAATCATGCTTTGAGGTAAATAAGGGCAGGGAGAGCTCTAGGATAGTTTTTGAAAGCTTCATCACTTGGGATAGAGGAGATAGGAAGACAGGAAGATAATTCCATTTGTTAACCAAGAGAAAGATCTCCATGTCAAAGATTCAAAAGTCAAAAGTAGTAACTTCTAATGGAGTTTTAATTATTTCCTGTAAGGAATTTGCCCATATCATCTAAGTTGTTGAATTTGTTACTATTAAATTGTTCATAATGTTGTCTTATTATCCTTTCTGTATCTACAGCGATAATCCCTTTTTCTCCTTGCTATTGATCTGTTTTCTTTTTTTGAGGGGTTTATCAAATTCAATCAAATGTTTCAAAGAACCAACTTTTGGCTTTATTAGTTTCCTCCATTGTTTGTCTAATGCCTATTTCATTAATTTTTACTTATTTTTTTTAATATTTCTTTCCTTTAACTTAACTTTGGATTTAACTTTGTTCTTCTTTTTCCAGATCTTATTAGATCACTGATTTGAAAGCTTTCTCTTTTTCTAACATAAACATTTAAAGTTGTAAATTTCTCTCTAAGCACTTTAGCTGCATCACATAAATTATGGCATGTTGTAATTTCAGCATCATTCAATTAAAAACATTTTAGAATTTCCCTTCTGATTTCTTGTTTGATCCATGGATTATGTAGCAGAATTGTTTAACTTCCAAACATTTTATGGACATTTCATTATTTTTTTTTATTTTATTATTTTTTAAAATATATTTTATTGATTTTTTACAGAGAGGAAGGGAGAGAGATAGAGAGCTAGAAACGTCGATGAGAGAGAAACATCGACCAGCTGCCTCTTGCACACCCCCTACTGAGGATGTGCCCGCACCCAATGTACATGCCCTTGACCGGAATCGAACCCAGGACCCTTCGGTCCACAGACCAATGCTCTACCACTGAGCCAAACCAGTTTCGGCGACATTTCATTATTATTATTGATTTCTAATTTCATTTTATTATAATCAGAGAACATATTTTGTAAGAATTCAGTATTTTAAGATTACTGAGATTAATTTATTCATTCTCTGTGCCCCTCTTCCAGTCGCAATACAGACTAGACAAAGGGCCCAGGCTGAGGTATATAAGGAGTGGGTTTATTCTGCCTCCTCTTTTTGTACAATCAATGTTAAGAACACAGCCTATAGTAAGCACCAGGAGGCAGAGATTTTATTATCTGTCCTATCACATGGTCTATCTTGATTGACATTCCATGTGTACTTAAAAATTATATATGTTCGGTCAGGCCGGTTTGGCTCAGTGGATAGAGTGTTGGCCTGTGGACTGAAAGGTCCTGGGTTCGATTACGGTCAAGGGCATGTACCTTGGTTGCGGGCACATCCTCAGTAGGAGATGTGCAGGAGGCAGCTGATCGATGTTTCTCTCTCATCGATGTTTCTATCCCTCTCCCTTCCTCTCTGTAAAAAATCAATAAAATATATATTTAAAAATTATATGTTCTTCAGCTATTGGTGTAGTGTTCTTCATAAGTGTCAATTAGGTCAAATTGTTTGACTGTGTTGTACAAAACTATAGCCTTAGTGATATTTTTTATCTAGTGATTTAGTCAACTACTGATGAGAGTATTAAAATCTTTAAGTATACACAATCTGATTGTATGTTTGTCTATCCTCATTCTTTAGTTCTGCCTCTTTTTGCTTCATTTATTTTGAAACCTTAATTATATAATTTAGAAAAATATATAAATGAAATAAAAAACATGTAATCAGAAATAAAAAAAATCTGAAATTCTTTGACTCTGGCAATTAACTGAAAAGCAGGAATTATTCCTATTTTACCCACTTTAAAGAGTTACTGACTCCATTTCTGTAACTGTCTCCTCCTTGGAAGGATAATGTTTTTTGTCAAGTCCTATGTAAACCATTGTGCTTATGCTGATTTAATCAATACCAATTATTCTCTAGAGATGTGGGCATGATTAGAACCCAAAAGAAGATCAGAGAAAGTTCACACTCACCGACCAAAGAAATCTAATTCCGTAGCAGAATATACATAAATAAAAAGTGAATCTCCACCTGGGTGGGCAAAGAGTAGAGGTTAGATGAATATTCACTCAAAAGAAAGTCTTTGGGGTTAAAGAAGTCAAGATAGCAGATTTGGAGATAAGATAGTTACTGGTGAAAAGGAAGTTAAGTCCCCAAAATAGGGACAAATACTGTTACCTCAAAAGCCAAAAGAGACATCTTTTGGCTGTTTATAATAGATATCCACAAGTGTATACTGGCTTTAATAAACTTTTTCTTCCATATCTTACTCCTTGATAATAATGCCTAATATTTTCTTTGCACAACGATAAATACAGTGTTCTGTGTCCAGAGGGGAATTAGTAAAAACCCAATGAAATAAGTATAGTATGCCCAGAAAAGGGATGCTGCCCATCAAAAAGTCCATTTAGAGCAAGCTGGTACTATTGCTATCAAGGTACAAAGGGTGTGCATGTCTACCAACATAAGTACAGTTACAGGAATTCACTCCCAATCTGTGTATTTGGGGAAGGGAACTACATTTAGCTTAATGGCAAGCACGTCCAAGAAAGGGTGACTAGTCTTCCCATGCTCTTCTTTCCTGCCTATAATAAATATAGTTAGTCAGTCCTGCACATTCATCGACTATTGTCCTAATAATACAAGTCATTTCCAAAAAGAAAACCTCAGTCCACTCACACTCCACCCTTCTCCTCACTCCCACCTCCCTCTGCACACCTACATGCTCTCACAGAATTTAGTGAGCGTTGGGGGCTTGTCCTGATTCCTCCGATGGCGAAACCAGCATTGGATTTTTCGGACATCCCAGTCCAGCTGCTTTGACAGGCCCTCCAGCCTTTTCTCATCAGGATACTGTAGATATATGACCAGAGTCAGGACATCTCTTTTTCTTCAAACATCTCATTAAATCCCTTGACTAGTTCAGTGGCAAAGGGGGTGATAACTATAGTGGCTTAAGTGATGTTATCTTTCCAGGTTTCAAAAGTCATTTTCAGCCCGGCTGATGTAGCTCAGTAGTTGAGCTTTGACCTTTGAATCAGGAGATCATGGTTCAATTCCCAATTAGGGCACATGCCCAGTGTGGGGCATCCAGCCAGTCAGTGATTCTCTCTCATTACTGATGTTTCTCTTTCTCTCTCCCTCTTCCTCTCTGAAAACAATTTAAAAAGTAATTTTTACACATCACAAAAGTACTATTTCACACATTAAGAACCTTTATCACTCATCTATACACATCCTTGTTTGGTCTTCTCCCTCCAGCCCAAGCTGAGTAAAAAAAATATTAAAAATCCAAACTGCAAAGGCTATCTATGGTCCCCATCTTAATTATGTAACTAGATAACTGACAAAAGCTGGAGCAGAGAAAAACAAAATTTAAAATATGATTTGTCTGGGGGCAAGGGTGGTGGCGGCTGCTAGGCCTAAAATTCAAATTATGTAAACTCCTAGCCCAAAGGTATTTCTCTGAGGAGATAAAGTTCTCCTCATAGCTACTAGGTGTACTGGTTAATAATGGTGGATTTTGTAATCAAAGAAAACACAATAATGTAAAGAGAAACATCAAAAGTGCTTTATTCAAAGTAATGTCCATTGTTACACATTTCCCCATATTTCAGGTAATTTGTGGATATTGTCCCAATAGAACTTTTGTTTTGAGGCAAACCATTCAGAGACCCAATTTTCCACTTCTTTGTATGTTTTGAAGTGCTGCTCAGAAAGTGTGTGTGCAATCAATCGGAACAAGTGGTAATCTGAAGGAGCAAGATCTGGTGAATACAGCGGGTGGGTTAATACTTCCCAGGCAAGATCTTTTTACGTATCTTTAACTGGTTTTGAAGTGTGTGATGGTGTGCCATCATGAAGCAAAATTACTTTGCCGTGTCTTTTGGCACATTCTGGCTGTTTTAAGATCAAAGCATGGTTCAAACTGATTGTTTATAGCAGTCAATATTAATGGTTTTACCTGGTTTTAGAAGCTCAAAATACACCATACCTTCCTGATCCCACCAAACACAGAGCATTGTCTTCTTTGTGAAGCGATTTGGCCTTGCAGTTGATGTTGATGGTTGACTTGGATCAACCCATGATTTTGTGTATTTGGGATTCTCAAAATAAATCCAGTTTCCATTGCCAGTCACAATTCGATGCAAAAAAGACTTTCTTTCATGCCACTGAAGCAACATTTTACTGATGACTTTTTGGTTTTCCATTTGTCTTTTGTTCAGTTGATGCAGTACCCATTTTCCTTCTTTTAAAATCTTTCACAGTGCTTGTAAACAGTTGTAAATTGTTTGCTGAGCAACATTTACTAGAAACTAATAGTTCAAAAAAGTTTAACACACATTTTCATTCAATAATGCTTGGAATTATTGGTCTTCAAGCTTTTTCAGTTGACCTGGATGTCCTTTGTCTTTCACATCACATCAAAATCATCACTTTTTAAGTGTTTAAACCAGTGTTCACAAGTATCTTGAGATGGAGCATGTTCACCATAAGCTTCCCGAAGTATACGAGAACTTTTTCTTCAAAATAATGAATTAAAACGTCCCACAAATGCTCTTTTTTTGGTATGAAATTTGACATTTTAAATGTAAAAATATCTATGATGTTAACACCTTAAGAAAATTTGACATATGGGGAGATCTGGGGGAGATAAGAGATCAACCGAAGGACTTGTATACATGCATATAAGTACAACCAATGGACACAAAACTCTGGGGAGGGAGGGTATCTATGGGAGGGGGGGTAATGTTAAAATATGTACACAGATAATAATTTAATAAAAAAAGAAGAAGAAAAAGAAAATTTGACATGAAGTTTTGAAGCTTGCTATCAATACAACAAAATAGCATACGTATCAAATTGCATATATATCAACATATGTGTAACTCCATCTATTGAAAAAAATCCACATTATTAACTGGTACACCTAGTATATGGACTACCCAAATGGGAAAGATCATCCCATCCTATCCTTACACTTGCGAAATACTTGTCCTGTATCTTCTCCTGCCCTATGGGGCAATCCCTCAGAGGAATCGTCTGTTTCTTTGCCCACTTACCTTAGTAATAGATATGAACACCTTTTCAAGGATGGCATTGGGTTGGGGCTGATAAGGACCACTGTCCTGGATGCCAACATGGAGTGCACAGGGTTTGGCAATAAACCTGTAATGGAGAAAGCCCAAAAGTCAAATCTAAATATAGTTTGCTAATCAGGAAGGAAAGATCCTGCTTAGGGGACTGATGGGAGGGAAAAGGAGAATCAGCTGGCTGGGAACCAGGACTTTTTTATTTTATCCTGGATTTTGCCACTGGCCTACTTGAGAAGTGACTCGTTTAAGAAATATTGGGTCATAAGCTCTCTTTCCATTTTCCCCCTGGCTTCCCTTATCACATATAAAGCTTTAAAGCCAGAAAGACCTAGGTCAAATACTAGTCTACCACTTATTGCCTGTATGAACTTGGACAGTTTACTAAATCTCTGTAAGGCTCAGTTTTTCATCTATAAGATGAAGATAATATCAACCAACATCTTTGCTACTCAATATAAAGTCCACAGACCAACAGCATTAATGCTTTTCCTGGAAGCTTTTTAGAACTGCAGAATCTTTTTTTTTTTTTTTTTAATATATTTTATTGATTTTGTACAGAGAGGAAGGGAGAGAGAGAGTCAGAAACATCGATGAGAGAGTCATCGATCAGCTGCCTCTTGCACACCCCCTACTGGGGATATGCCCGCAACCAAGGTACATGCCCTTGACCGGAATCAAACCCGGGACCCTTCAGTCCCCAAGCCGACGCTCTATCCATTGAGCCAAACCGGTCTCGGCAGAACTGCAGAATCTTGAAACCCATCCCAGAATAATCTGCATAATCAGAATCTCCATTAACAAGATTCCCAAATGATTCATGTGATCATTAAAATGTTAGAAGAATCTTGCAAGTATCCAATGAGATAATGTATGTGAAGACCCTGGAACCAGGGAGGTGCTTAATAAATGGTAGTTTTTTTTTGTTTTGTTTTTTAATATCAAGATCTTAATTGGAGGGAAAAGTAAAACGGAGGCTGAGCTCTTCCTAACTACAAATATCCTGGGTCATGGTCACCTTCCTGCCTAATAAAAAGATTATGGAAATACTTGGAAGAAAGAAACTACCTATTAGTATTCAATCCCTGCCCTAGTTTATACCATTAATGAATTATATAAATTTGGCCAAGTCACTTAAATCTTGAATCTTGGTTTTATCATTTAAAAAGGTGTTATATGAGGTGATTTCTAAGATTTTGTTCTATATCTAAGATTACATAGTGGTATCATTAATTGTAATTCATTCCTAATTTTTAGATTTTTGAGAAACTAGTCCTTGTTTCTTCAAGAAAGATCTCCTGCTTTTCCACAACTATAGATTTTTGTGAGTATTAATCAGCTCTAGAAAAAGCTCCATGTAGTCATTTTGAGAATAAATCAAATGCTCTCTTAGCATTTTAGGGAGTCCGATAAAAAAAATGACTGGGAGGCCTAAGATGGAGTGTTCTTGACCTATTTTCTTGGTCTGCATTTGAATCCAGAATTTATCTCTAAAGGAGGGACTGAGAATAAGAAACTTTGTTTATCTTCTATAAAAACTTTTACCCTTATCACCAAAGTTCCTGAGCCATGGGGAAACATTTATTCAGAGCACAAAGTTAGCCACATCTGTAACCCATTCTCTCCTCTCTTTTACACAGGTGACACAAAAGGTTCATTCAAAAGTCAATACTACTAGTAGATACTTTAACATATTTCCTGGTATATTATTCTCTGTACAAATATTTAAACCCCCCACTCCTGTTTAAACTCATCGTGAACAAAGATTCTGTGCTCAATAGTTTCTGTGAGAGGTTCAGTGAATCCCACTCTTGCCCTATGAGCTCATTTTGGACCCAGCATTGATCAGCATCCAGAAAAGTAATTAATGCTGTCACTCTTTGCTTTTGAGTTGGTGCCATATCTGCTATAAAAGCACTGAATTACCTCTGTCTGTCTCCTCCATTTCTTCTCATCTACATTAATATATGAAGAGGTAGATGCAAAAATAAAAAAACAGCCTTTAAAATTCCTATTCTTACCCCTTGAAGTAGGTCTCTTCCTCAATCCAGAAGCAGTCAGGTGTTTAAAGGCTCTGGAGTTAGGCAGACTGTAATAGCTAAGACACTTTGTGAAAATTCATTTTAAAGATGAAATGACATGATGCATGCGTAGCACAGAACCTGACACTTAGTAAACATTCAATAAAAGGAGGCTATTATTATTTTTCTAGAAACTAATAGTTCAAACTGTACCCTGATCATATCTTCAGCAGAAGGTGAGAAGAGCAAAAATCTTCTTTCATAGAACAGGGATAGGCTTGTACCCTGCCCACCTGAGGGAAGCCAAGATAATTTTTATTATTATCTGGACATTGGAGGGGACTTGATATCCTACGGTTGTCATTAGCTCACATCCTGCCCTCAATAGTTCACAGAGTTTAATGAGAGACATAGAGTTACTGGCATCTAGTTAGTTACAGCTGTACAGACCCTAAGAAAATTTATTTATTTGACAAATATTTATTGGGCACCTATTTTGTGCTATAGCACGAAGCCCAAAACCAAATATAAAGACTTATGGTTGGAAAAAAAATTTTCTGATTAAAAAAATTAAATAAATAGATTTATGCATTTAATGAATAACCTTAATGAAGAAAGTGAAATTATTTTAAAGTAGAACTTGAAAGAAGTTCGGACTCAATCATGTATTCTTTCTATCAATATATCATCTACCTGGTATTCAGTATATAATTTATAAAATGAACATATACGTTAGTCAAATCCAAAGAGCCTGGCATTCATCCTTTCTTCTAGATTGGCACCTCTCTAAGTGTGCTCTGGAGACCTTCAGGGACACTTTTAGGAGGTTTGCAATAAAATTATTCCCTTAATAATTCTATAACTTCATAATGATTACTTTCTTTCATGAGTATACAGTGGAATCTTCCACAGGTTATATGACAACAGACTGAATGAAGAAGTTGACATGAGAATACAGCTGCCCGATATTAGAGACTTACAAAGATGTAAAATAATGCTATCCTTTCTCACAGTTTTTTTGTTTTGGAAATTTTTCCCATGAAGTGTTAGTTATATTATCAATATAATCAATGTATTGTTATCTGTAAATGAATTAGTAATATATTAAATTATTTTCCATTTTAATTTTTAAAACAGTACATGTTAATAGATATTATTCACATGAACAAAAGCGCTCTGAGGTCCTTGATAATTTTTAAGAGTGTAAAGGATTACTGACAACATAGTTTGCAAACAAACTGCTGTGCTGGACGACACCGAGAAATCAAACTTCTCATGATTTTCTTTCTTTCTGTTTATTTATTGATTTTGGGGAGAGAGAGGAAGAGGGAGGGAGGGACAGAGAGAGAGAAAAACACTGATTTGTTGTTCCACTTATTTATGCATTCACTGGAGCCAGCCAGGGCCTCTTGTGACTTTCTGTCCCCTCCAGGATCAATTTGTTGTCCAAGTTTTAAAATAATCTGTAAGACTAGACTTCCTTTCGCCTTCAAGTCTGAATAAGTGAACATTTAGTGGTCTATAATGTGAAGATACTCCTTTCTTCCTTCCATTCCAGGTACATGATGAGTCTAATGATCCAACCTGATTGTAATATATCTGTCTTGCTTTACAGAGATCATTTCAATTTGCCCTTTCCCTGCCCTCCAGATATATGGTAGCAGCTGACCTAAGCATGGGTTAATTAAGATGAAATTACTACTTTGCTTCTTCATACTAAAGACAGGAGCTATACTTAACACTGCTATCTTTGTGATTCATTGCAACATCATTGATGGATATGAACTTTACACAAATATATTAGAAAGTCTAGATCAAGCTTCTCCACTGGTGTATCATGGCAAGTAACATAGATTGGCTATACTTATGCTGAGATGCTGCTCTCAGTTCTCAGGGTAGTCCACGGGGCCTGTAGTAGCCATAAACACTTAGCCTGTAGCCTTGGCCTCATATACCCTATTGTGCAACACACATTTTATTTTCTACACTAGAGGCCTGGTGCATGAAATTTGTACACTGGGGTGGGTGGTGGTGGAGGGGGGGGGAGGTCCCTCAGACTGGCCTGCACCCTCTTAGTCTGGGACCCCTTGGGGGATGTCCGCCTGCTTCCCATGGACATCCCTCTTGCAGTCAGAACCCTTTACTCCTTACCACCTGCCTGCTCTGGCTGAGCGGCGCCCCCCCTATGGGAGTGCACTGACCACCAGAGGGAAGCTCTTGTGTTGAGCGTCTGCCCCCTGATGGTCAGTGCACATCATAGTGATTGGTCGTTCTGGTTTTTCTACCTTAACGGTCGCTTAGGATTTTATTATATAGATGTATAGCAACATGGTTGAGTTGGGAAGCATTGTGACTTGTCAAAATTAATATATAAAAAGGAAGAGACTGGACAAAAATCATTCGCCTATGGATGAGGACAGTAGAGGGGGGGAGGTATGGGAAGAAGGTGGGATGGGAACCAGGTGGAAGGGAGCTATGGGGGGAAAAAAGAGGAACAACTGTAATAATCCGAACAATAAAGATTTATTTTAAAAAATAATATATAAAAAGAAAAATAACCATCAAAGAAATGGAAATAAGGAATGGGATGAAGGGGAAAATACAATAAAAAGAAAAAGGTCTTATATAGACTGAGGATGGTGTATCATTAGGTGAAAATACCGAGTAACTAAATTACCTGAATATTCAGGTAATTTTGAGTATTCATAGTTTTGATATGAATACTCCCCACCACACACACACACACACATGTGAGAGACAGAGAAAGAGAGACAGAGAGATAGAGAAACAAAGGAGATAGCTGAGGTGATGGTTAAATAAAGGTTTGTAGGGCAAAATGAAGTCAGTTTAGAATTTAATTCTTAAGTTCAAAAGCAGCATTTGAAAATCATCCCCCAGGGGATCCAAGATGGCTGCGCCCAGGTGAACACCTAGCCGCAGCCGCACACAACAATTTCAATAAAATACAACTAAAATATAAAACGGACATTGCCCAGAACTACAGGAAGGTTGACTGGAAATTCTACAGCGAGAAGCAAGGAGAAAACCAGAAGGA